GGGGTTTCACCATGTTGACCAGGCTGGTCTCGAACTCCTGACCTCATGATCCGCCTGCCTCAGTCTCCCAAAGTACTGGGATTACAGGCGTGAGCCACCGTGCCCAGCTGTCTTATGCTTTGAAAAGTAAAGGATATAGTGAAGAAGTTTGCCTTTTAAGTTTATCTAATTATATTTTTACTAACTGATTACTGTTCATTTTTCTTAGATGATTTAATCTTACTGGGGAGGATTCTGTACAGCTTTTTTTCTGGACATGTATTATTTAACTTCAGGGATCAAGATATTTTTTCCCCCCCTTCACAAATTAGGAGACTTCCTGTGATCAAAGTGAAGGTTCTTGTTCTTCGGAAGAAGATGAATGGAGAAGTGATAGAAAAAGTGAAAGTTACAGCGAAAGTTCAAGGTATCTGTTTTTAATTGTTACAATTTTTAAAGCATTTTAGTCATAGCATGGATGAAATCATACTTGAATTTTATTCAAGATGCAAGCATTTGCAACTGTGGAACAGTTTTTTTTTGAAAGGAGACAAAAACTAGATTAACAGCTGTTACTATAGGAGTATTTCAGGAGCTTTTTGTTGACTTTAAGCAGTTGACCCAGCATTGTTGAACATGCATACTGAAAATATAAATTCAATCTTGGCTGCACTCAAAAAGACTAGTATCTAAAGTTAATGTGTGGTAAAACCACAAGTATATTCATTATTATTGCATGTGTTGCTTTTTTGTTACTTTTGAGAACCAAATTTCCTGGGGCAAAATGTCAGCCTCAGATTCTCATAATGGTGCATGTCACCTTCATCTCAACAGATGTTCAGCCCAGAAAAGTGGACTATAATCTCTCTCGTCTACTTATCCGTAACATGGCTAGAAAATTCTCCTTCCCGAATATCACGCAGATTGTCTTTCTTTTTTTTTTTTTTTATTGGTACTGCATTGGTCCAAACCATTATCACATACTCCCTGCTTCCTTTGTTGTCTTCTTTTACCTTATTATGATGAGCTAGAATGATTTTTTTTTTAAAGAAGATAAGTGTATTGTCTTTTTTCAAACAAATTTAATTGTGGTAAAATATATGTCTAATAGAAATAGCATAACCATTTAAAATGTGCAGTTCAGTACTGTTACATGCATTGACATAGTTGTGTAGCCAATCTCCAGAACCTTGTTTCTTGCAAAACAGAAACTCTATACCAATTAAAAAACAATTCTTCACTTTGCTCTTCCCCATATCCCTGGCAATTACTATTCTACCCTGTGTCTTCATTGTCTTTTAATTCAACTTTTCTTGAATTTTATTTATCCAAAACAGATGCTCCTATAATTTTTATAAGCAAGCTTTATTTAGTTTTTTTTTAAATAATAAATACCTTTTTGTAATGTGTTTATGTGTGTATTTGATAGAGTTTAAAAGGTGTATAGTTGAAGTTGGGCCAAGAATGCCCGAATAGAGACCTTTATTATTATTTTTTCTGTCTGGTGAAGTTAGTAGTGGTCTAGGGACTAGTTTTCTATAACTAGTTTCCTCTTTGACTCTGCTTTTGCTAAGGTGTAGCTAGGACTAGTCGCTTTCTTAGATTTCTGTCATATCAGGGAGATTCCTCTTGGGAAGAAACTGAATACTTAAGGCTTTCAGTTTGATGTAGCTGTGCTTCCCTTGGGCTTCTCAGTGTATTCATTGATGGCTTCTGATTCCAGTTGAAATTCCTGGTCTATACCTTGGCTTCCTCCAACATGGGGGCAGTGGTGGGTCTTAGTTTTGGGGTTTTGTATGATTCTTACTGTTTTTATAAGTCTGTGTTTTGTTTCCTGAAGGGGTAATTGTTAGTTGTCTTCCATCATATTTTATCCGCAGTATACCTAAATCTTTTTTTCAGGCTTATATTCTTTCCTAATTTCTAGTGTTAGTGGAGATTTCTCTTTTTCTCTTTGTCATGATCTTCAGTCACTTCAGTAGTTGTTAGTAGTGAGAAGAGAATGCTCGAGTTAAATCTTTCTAGTGTCTTCCCTTCCCTTGATTTCTCATTTCTTTGTTCCCTCAATTTTACATGATTGACTTGCTATCAGTGCTTATATTCTGGTTTCATTTAACTTGAAGCACTCCCCTTTCCTAGTGATTCTTCATCTAGATATTCCGATTGGACAGCTGATGCAGGCATCAATTTGCAGCCTCCTTTAAGAACATCATGTCGTCGACGAATTACTCGATTTTGTAGTAGTTCAGAAGACGAAATATCTGCTGAGAATGTATCTCCTCCAAAAAGAAGACGAAAGAGAAAGAAAGAAAATAAGCCTACAAAAGAGGTAAGAAAAGTGTATCTTTAAAAATAGCATGTATTGTGATGCTTCAGCTTTATTGTGTTTCAAATGTTGCTTTAACATTTATCCTGATATTGCCATGGTTGTGCCTTGTGCCCCACTCTCGGGCTGGGCTGGGCAAGCTGTTAGATCTCCATTGGGAAGCTCACTGCACTCCCAGGGTGCAGCAGGTGCCCTGTGTGTCCTGGGGATCCTGAAGGACACTGTGGACTCCCCTGTTTCCTACTGTCAACCCTCATGGATAGCAGGAGCCCTGGGGCCTGTGGGAGGGAAGGGAGCATCTGTCAGCCCCTTTGGAGGGATGGGTAAGGGCAGGTATAGTGGGACTTATTGGGGAGGCCTTTGATCCTTTGCAGGACCAGGGCCCTGGTCTCCCTGTGAGAGACTTGGAGTCCACCAGTATTGTTCACTTCTAGTCTTGAGGAGATGGTACTGCCATGATTGTATGTTTCTAGCTGTATCAAAAGGCAGGATAATCTCAAGCTTATCTAGTCTAAGTGGAAGTGTGATCAGAGGGCTGGGTCGGGCAGAATGGCCCTGGTGCCCTATGAGGACACTTGAGGGTTTGGGGTTGCAGAAATTCCACAAGCCTCTTGCCACCTTTGTGAACCACATGACACAGATTCAGCAAGACTGGAGACAACTGGGAATTGCAGCAGTGGTTTGGGATGTGGCCATGATTCTCTCCACATTATCTGGAGATGGGAGCTGTGGAGCTCTTTGGCTGCCCTGCAGCCGGGTGCTGGCACAAGGCTGATGGGTATAGTGGCTGCTGTGCTTGGTACTCGTGACTATCACAGATCGAAAAGTAGCATTAGAATTTTCTAAGTCAAATGTTCAAGGCAATTTACCTCCTTATATTTAACACAAAGCTTTTGTTAAGGAGCTGACTTAGGGAAAGAATTTGGGGAGTTGTTCTCCTAGAGAATTTGACCTGATACTTGGAGCTGATATTATATAAGAAGATATGATATCAGCTAAATATAAGATTCAAAGATCTTCTTCAAACACTGAGCCATCTCTGTAGCAATCACTCCATGATTCTTTTAGCTTGCTGAATTCCCTGTGGATGGAATAACAACTTTTTAGCAATGCTGGAGAGGCAGTTTACTGTGAGTAAGGTTCACTATGATACTTAGAAAGATGCACATGCTTACACAAGAGAAACCACAGCAAGGACCTACAGTTGGCTATCATTTATAAGAATGCTGTCATTGAGGATGTTGATTAAGGTCTTGGAGACAAAACACATTGCAGTTTTAAAACAAAGCAGTACTTTGTCCCATCATTGTGATTTATTTATTTTTTGAGAGTCTGTAACCCAGACTGGAGTGGAGTGGTACAATCTCTGCTCACTGCAGCCTCTGCCTTCTGGGTTCAATGATTCTCCTGCCTCAGCCACCCAAGTAGCTGAGACTATAGGCTCACACAATCAACCCTGGCTAAGTTTTGTGTTTTTGTTTTTTTTTTTTGAGACAGAGTCTCACTCCATCACCAGGCGCCAGGCTGGAGTGCAATGGCTCGACCTTGGCTCACTGCAACCTCTGCCTCCTGGGTTCAAGCAATTCTCCTGCCTCAGCCTCCCGAGTAGCTGGGACTAGAGGCATGTGCCACCACACCCAGCTAATTTTTTTGTATTTTTAGTAGAGACGGGGTTTCACCATGTTGGCCAGGATGGTCTCGATCTCTTGACCTTGTGATCTGCCCGCCTCGGCCTCCCAAAGTGCTGGGATTACAGCCGTGAGCCACCATGCCCGGCAAGTTTTGTATTTTTAGTAGAGATGTAGTTTTGTCATGTTGGCCAGACTGGTCGCGAACTCCTGACCTCAGAGGATCTGCCTGCCTTAGTCTCCCAAAGTGCTTGGATTACAGGTGTAGACCCACTGTGCCTGGCTGTTGCTGTAATTTTTAGTCATATTTACTCACTCTGAAATTCCAGTAATGTTAAAAGATTAAGTGTGAGATTTTGTGTTGTTTCTATAGCCCATACTGCTCCCTCTTGATAAACAGTTTTCACTGATGATATGAAGCGTTGGTATAAAGGCATCTTTAAACTGACAAGCTTAAATTACACAAATAATTTTAAACACCGTCTGGAATATATTGTGTTTAGCCCAATTTTCTGATTTTCTGGATGTAAAAGAAGAGGTTTAACATGTTCCCTGAGCTGTTAGTGCTATTGAAATCTTTTTTTTTTTCCTTGCCTCTAAGACTTTTAGATCAAGAATGTGCTATTGAAATGTTTTGCCCCATTTAGATTGTAGATACTCTTGGTTGATTGAGTGGGTGTGAGTTTTCTAGAGTCTCATGCTTTTTGACTTAATTTCAGGTTTAAGTGTCTCAACAAAGGGATAAGTAAAAATAAAGTTTTACTTACTTTTTGAGAGTACCTAAAGTCTTGGAGTAGAATATAGGTTATCTTTATCAAATCAAAAGCTGTGGTTCTCTACTTCAGCTTTACTCTGTGTCAAATGTTGCTTTAATGTAATTGTTTCCTAAGCTTTCCATGCCTCCTTAATAATATACAGGATAACTAGTTTCATCCCTCCATTAAGAGCTTAGCTTCCCGAAAATAAGCTCCTTCTGTGTTGTCCTTGCATAAGCTTCATGAGGACCAGGAATGCTTCTGCATCTTTCATTGTTGTTTCCCCAGGATCTAATATTAATATATGTATTAATTCCAGTTAGAGACTTTTGATTGTTTAAATGATTGTTACATTGTTTTATGATTGACTTTGATACACTTTACGAATGAAGTCACATGTAAACTTTTTTTAAAAGAAATTTTAAGGTGCTTTTCTCTCT